CGTGGTCGCATGCTGCTGCTGTAGCTTGTGCTTCCCTCGCGCCGCCGTTTGACGATTTCAGTGAATGGGGGCCCCTCATCCTGTGCAATCAAATTGCTTGGACACGCATCATCAAGACGGCGTTGCACGCTGCGGCCCAATCTCCTGCTCGAAATGTTGAGGCGGCCACAGTGGAGGCCAATTTTCCCCGGGAGGTCTGTCCCCCGGGAGTGCCAGAACGTGTTTGGACGGACGATAATGGACTTCTTGTAGACCCACCTACGTGCGCAGCAGCCGACACAGAAGATGACAGTGTCAAGTGTCCATGGCGTGCGCGTGCTTTCCGACAGCATGGGGCATTGCTCCCGCATGTGGCGCGTGCCCACCGTCAGAACGTAGCTCTGGCACGTGCGTGGGCGTCGCCAGACGGACAATGTCATGCATGCCTATCTGTATTTCATGTTCGGACACACTTAGTAGAGCACCCAGCGCATGATTCCCCTCGGTGGTTATGTTTACTGATGAGTGATCCTACCACGGCAGTTGCTGCGTCAGTTGCAACTACTCGAGGAGCTGCGCCGTGTTATCACGTCACACATTCCGATGTCTTAGCCCACATGACAGGCAGGATCCCAGGTGTGCAGGCGTCTCGCCGTCACGTTGCTGCGCCGGCAGTTTCGTGCAGCTGGCCCCATCACAGAGCATGCGTGTGCAGTGATGGTTACGATGGACCATGCCACTGCACGTTTGGAGATTGCGGCTGCTGGCCCCGCCTTCCCAGCTGGGCTTGCTGCTTGCCTACGAGCTCCTGTGAATGCCGCTGTTGTGCCGCAGCCGCTGGCCAACCATGCGCAGTGCGCCGTTGAAAGATACCCCAGTCGTGCTTTCCTGACAGAACGGGGCACTGGCATTGCAGCCGAACCCATGCCGAGGGCCGTCAGACGAGTTGAATACTTCGTTCTGAATTTGTTGCATGGACGGAGGAGGGCAGGGGTTGTACAGGCACAAGTTGAATGGGAGCACTATAGCCCTGACTATGCGATGTACGTCCGGTCTGTGGATATAGCCGCACACGCAGTGGACGGGGGTCTCATGAATCGGGGCGCACTTGCAGAATGGAGGTCTCGCGCCTTGCACCATGGGCGGCGGCGTCGGATGGCGGGCCTCCGCGCGGGACCCCGTCTGCCTCTCGATGGGCAGAAGGCCAAGGCCCGCCGCCACTGCGCATGGCCAATTTGGGGGCAAGACGGCAGTTGCTGAGCGTCAGATGGAACAGCTGTGGGTGGGCAATGCGCTATACCATGCTTGGCTGGAGCTCTTCGCTGCGCATGTGCAGGCTGGGGCGCCATGTTGGCTCGAGCACCCCCAGCCGCGCGAGTGGAGGCTTCAAGCCGTCAGCCCGTTTACCTGCCATCCGATGTGCGCTCTCCAGTCGTCCCCAGCAATCTCGACGACCGATATTGATCAGTGTGAACATGGTCAGACGTCAAGGGCCCCCACTAGGATCGTTGCACTTTGACTGCCAGGGCTGCGCGCCGCCCTGCTTGCGACCTCTGGGAACGGCAGATGCTCGCACGGTAGGGGCGGACACGGAACGCTTCTTGGGCATGATGGGGATGGGAGGGAGTGGCGCACAGCCAAAAAAAACGTACCCCGCCGGCCTGTGCAAGTGCATCGCTGCTGCCGCCGCTAATGCAGTGCGTGCCACGTGGGAAGGGGGTGTGGACAGTATTGAGCCCATTGTTCTTGGCGACATGGGGGAGGATGGTAGAGTGCGTGACGGACTGCTGCGCTTCCTTGTCTCCTGGGATCCCTACGGGTAAAGTGCGCGGCCGACTGCTACGTGACGGACTGCTGCGATTCCCTGCATTCTGGCACAGACGAGGGATGGGCCCCTGACTCTGTTTCTCGGCGCACACGCCGTGTCCGACACGACCCCGAGCTCGATTGCTTTCGACCGCTACATGCCCCCCCGACATCAGATCAGGCCACCTCTGCCACCTCACAGGTTCGCGATGACATGGCGGAGGTTAGACCCACAGGCCCGCCTGAGGCTAGAGGCACGTGCTTTTCCTGGTGACTCGCAGAGGAGAACATATCCCCTCTCCCGCCCGCCCCAGTGCCGCTAGCGCCTGAAGCACTGGAGCGCATGGCGCAAAACCGTGCGCGGGCACGTAACAGAAGAGCTGCTAAACTCTAGGAAGAGAGACAGGCTCGGTTGCGCGAAGTAGCCCCTCGGACCCTGGATCCTAATTTTGGCAGAGGCTTGTTTGGATAAGTTGCTGCCTGTCATCTACCATGAGATGCTGGGGATTGTCGTTCAGTTTTGCGCGGAGAATTGGTGGTGCAGAATAGCAAGTCGCCGTTGTCTGCTGCGCCGCCTCCTTCAGCCACCTCTCTCTGTCCGCCCGCCCTCTGGTGGCTCGCAACACCGGGGGGCCTGCGGCATGATGACTCAGGACCATGCTGTTGCTGCTTTCTTTGCCTCGACTACGATCTCGGCGCTTCTCTCTCCGTCCTGCCCCAGCTGCCGCCCTAGTTCGAGAGGTTTCCGGCGCCGTACCTTGCACGGCGAACCTCTCTCGGGGCGGGCAGACACGCGCGCCTGCCCGCGCCCGCGCATCGGGCTCGCCGGGCCATTTCAACCTCCCCACTTCCCTGCCTAGCTTTCAGCTTACCGTGGTCGGGGCCGGGGGCGGGATTGGCGCGTTGACGGGGGCGAGGTGTCTACTGTGGCGTTGGAGCAGGCACTGGCCGCAGGTCGAGCGCGCGAGAATCGCGCATTCCCGCTGGCCCCTGCCTCGCACCCGCCCCCCGCTCAGATGCCTTTTCGTCGGCCTCTCTTGCCTCTTGGTGCATCTCTTGTTGTTCGATCTCTAGCTGCCGCCCCAGGTCGAGAGGTTTCGGGCGCCGTGCCCGGCACGGCGAACCTCCTTCGGGGCGGTCAGACACGCGCGCGGGCCCTGCCCGCGCACCGGACAAGCCAGGCAGTTTCACCTTCCCCACTTCCCCTCAGTATAGGTTTGTTGGCGGAGGCGTAGCTCGCACTGCGTTGATGAGGTAGGCATGGGACACGGGTTGAGCGTGCGAAAATCGTGCACTCCCGCTGGCCCTTGCCTCGTACACGCCCACTTAGTTGCCCTTTGGGCATGTTGCAAACTATCTCACCTGCTCCCTTTTTTGATCAGCCTCCTCTTGCCTTTTCCCTACTCCTGTTGCGTTGCAATGCGCCTTGAGCGCTTTCCGACGATATGGGGGTGATGCGGGATGGGTGACGGGGTTGGGGAGATTCACCAAACCTTGGCGCCCGTGCTGTTAGATCCCGAGTGTTTCTGCCAGCAGTTAGCGAGTGCCGCGCCAAGCTGACCGTCTCCTCGGCGAATCAGAGCGCAATCCAAATCCTCTCTTGTTGTAAAGTTTCCCTTCGCGACGCGCCTCCAGGCACTTAGGCGTGCCAGCCGGGGTGTTTCGCCAGATGCGTCGTCGCAGCTTGCGAGATGGTTGCTTGCAAGTCTGACAGTCAGACGGATGGAGAGCGGGTGGCTTCTCAAACATGTGACCCTCGCCTCAGCGCCGCGCGCTTGCGTATGACGTGCAGGGCTTTCAGTTACATGGACGGACGGCGGTTCTCTTTTAATTTGTTGTCCTCGCAGTTCTGGCGCAGGCGCCCGACTGACCTTTGCGGGCAAGATTTATATCCATATCCACTGCGTCTTGGATTTCCCGGGAAAGTGCGCCAAAAGGCCGAGGCGCAGTGGATATTGATAAGACTGTGGCCCCAAGGGGCCATATTCTTTTCCACAGCCACTGCGCCTCGGGCTTTTGGGGAAGGGGGGGTTCGAAACTCTGAGATGTCTTGGATCCGGACACCAATCTTGCCCGCACGGCCTCCGCACATGTTGCCGCCACCGCCCGTCGCCCACCAGCGCGCCGGGCGCCGGCTGGCGCGCAGGCGCCTCGTCGCGCGCGCCTGGCAACGCCCGCCCGGGAGTGCACGGGCTGCCCCGCCTGGCGCGCGGCAGCTGCCGCTGGGGCGCGTGCGCGCGGTTTCGGGCGTGGCTGCGCCCCCGTTGGCGCCGCGCGGGCCGCGATCGCGGCGCTGGCCCTCAGCATCGATTGCCCGATCCCCCATGGCAGAGCTGGCCGGGGGTCTGAGGTGGCCCAGCACTGGTTCTGGCCAGTAGGAAAGGCGGGCAGGTTCGAGGCTGTCGGTTTGGGTGTTTTTGGCTCTTTTCGATATTTGGGGGGGCGTTTTCGGGCCCGGGACCGTCAAACTCAGATCCTTGGTGGAAAATTGTACCAGATGGAACCCGGGCAGGGGTTCGGGGACCCCGATTTTGAGCAGTTTTGGATTCATCCCCCCCGATCGATTTTCTCGGCGCCCAACGAGCTCAGACCCGCTGGCCGCCTCCGACCCTCAGTATCGACTAACCTATCCGTGTCTCTGACCTGCACAACGGCCCACCAAATAATGTTTTAGTAACCGTCTGTGGTTTGAGCGAAGCGTTATTAGTTTTTGTTTTAGCAGAGGAAGTTTTTAACCGACCCATCGTGTGTGGTTCAAAGAGTATTTGTCGTTCTTGGAGTTGTCTTTCTCGCATAAGAACATGTCGCAGTAAGCCTGTAGGAATGCCAGGACGGTCAGTCCCTGCTCAAACGCTGGGCCATGATGTTTCAGCCTCACAGCCTACTCCTTTGGGCGGGGATGGGCCCCGCGAAGCCCGAAGCAGCAGGCATGTATCACCACCGACCCCGATCATTTCATACCATATTGCTTTGGTCGCGATCGGTTGCGATCGATCGGCACTCGAAATCGGTCGCGGCCCATCGCGTTCGATTCAAAAATCGGGCGCAACCTTTTTGGGATAATTTCGGTCGCGATAGAAACGGAATGTTGAGCAACATTGGCAGCGACCGGTCTCGTCGGTCGCGAGCATCCAATGATCAGGGTAGATGGGTAAGTCGGCCAGTGGGGCCAAGGTAGTTCCAGTGGGGATCGGGATCGGTTCAACGATGCTCAGGCCCGCGCCAGCCCGCGCCAAGGACGGACGGGGGCGCTGTCGGCCAGATGCAGGACCTGCAGCGATGGGGGGGCCGAGACCCGTTTTCGTCGTGGGAGGCTTTTGGTAATTTCTGGCCTCTGGGGGCCCTCGCTCGGCCCTGGGGACCGTCAACGAAACGACTCGGGATGGAAGACCGATCCTGTGGAGGGGGTCGAGACCTCCAGGGGTCCACGCTGTGGAAACGCCACGCCGTTGGGTGTCTTGGCGGGGGGTCCTCGCCGCCTCGGCTGGATTCTCCTCGAAGTTCTGGTCGGGGCGCGCCCCAGGACTGGTCCGGGGATCGCTGTCGGACCCCACACCTCCATCGTCTTGGAACACTCACGGTCGAAGGCCTTCCGCCATGTTCAGCCTTTGGGGGGCCATTCTCGGGCCAGCGGGTTTCGAAAGCCGACCTGAGGCGAAAAGCCAGCCAGCATCGCGAAAATCATTTCGTCGGAGGTCTGGGAGAGTGCTTCCCCCACTCCCCCAGACCTCTGACGTTTTGGTTTTCTCGAAGCATGAACCCCTGAGGTCTCGACCCATTCCTCGGAACGGATTCTTCATCTTGGGTTGTTGTTTTTTTCGGTGGGTCTGGCGAGGGCCCGCGGAGGCCGAAAACAGCAACAAAAATTGACCGCCGTGATTTTTGTCGCGAGGCGAGGGGGTCTGGGTCGATGGCGGATCTCGGATGGCGCTGGGCCCCCCCTGGGCGGTGCCCTCGTGGCCGCCCGTGGCGCTTTTCTTGCTCGCTCGGGGAGGTGGTGCTGGGTCGGCCGCGTGCCGGCAGAGACCTGCCGTCCGCGGTACGAGGTCGCGAAATTCTGCGGCATGGCGCGGCCTCACGACCAGAGCCCTTACAGACCCGATCTCTGTGCTCCAGTTCTCGAGCCAGAGCGACCTGTGAGGGTGCTGTGGCCCGATACCGGGCGAAAGCGCTTCTTGTGAAACAATCATGTGATTCCAAGCGGGGCCTTAGGGAAAGGGGTTTTTGCGACGGGCGATGCCGATTTCTGTAGTCCGCTCGGCTTCGCGCGCATGGTCGCCGCAGGACGTTTTCACTCTCGCTCCGAAGTCTCAAATGTAATGTCGCGGCCTCAGAAGTCCACTTCGCTGGCGTCCCTTTAGGGAGCGCGTCAAACAAATGCAACGCCCAGATCTGAGGGCTCCTCTCCCCCGACGAGGCCCGCGCCAGGGTCCCCAGGCGGGGAGGCAGGCCGCTGGCGCCAGCCTCCAGGGCGCGAGCCCCAGCACCAAGCGACCCGAGCCGGGGACGGAGGCTGGCCACGCGCAAGAGTGAGCTTCCCCCGGAGTGACCTCTGTCGGGGGAACGTCGGTCTCGAGTACGCCGGAACTCGGGTTGCTGACGCTTTTGGACGAGCGCGTCCTGGATTTTGACGGCTCAGTTTTCGCGGGATGTTTGCAGCGGAAGTTCGCGTGACATTCCAAGTTGTGTCTCGTCATTTTCAGGATGGCCCCGTCAGGCCAACCCGAGTCACCCGAACCCGAGTCTTATGTCTCCCCGACTTTGGTGCCGGCCCACAGGGCCCATGGCCTGCACGCGTGGATTTGGCGGCGCAGCGGCCCCCTCATAGGAGGACGAGAAACGGCGTAGACACCAACTCTCGGAGCTCCTCGCGGCGCATTTCTTGGATTGGCGCTGGGCCCCTCAGGATGGCGCCTCTGGCGCCGCCCCTGGCGCGCTCCCCGCGCCAGGGAGGGGGTCTGAGCGCCGATCTAAGAAATCCGCGCGGACCTCCAAAAGTTTATGTTCATGCCATGTCTTGCTCCCCTTCCTAAGGCCGCGCACCAAATGGCCACTTCTGCCGAGGGTCACGTGTGCGTGGCCGAGGAAAGCGCAGGCCGCGGGCCGCGGGCCGGCACGTCGGTCGGCAGGTCGCTGCTCAAGGGCCTGTCGGGCGAGTTCGACTCCGAGGACTGCGCGTTCCACGTGGGCGGCGTGATCCGGCTGTCGGCACCACCCAAACATTCGAGGAGGGCATCGACTACAGAATGGATTCACCCCAAGTTTGATTTTTCCGTCCAATCTAAATCTACAAGCAAGTAAAGCAAGTACGTGGATTCGACGGGGAAATCCCCTATTGCGTCGGCCACGCAGGTGCGACGCACGCGCGCGGAATTCTTCTAGCATAAATCCCTGACGGGCGATGTCTGGCCATACCATTCGGGAAACGATATATTGCAAGATGTAGTGCTATATGTTCGGGTCGGACGTGCGTCTCCAACAGAGGCACATTGTAGTAGTATGTCCGTATGCGTCCCAGGCTGCGGGCCATCCACCAGCAGGCCTGCTGGCATGTGCGTAGGGCCCGCCTGGAGGACTCGGGAGAAACACAATTGCATAAGCATGAACTTTTGGAGCTCCGCGCGGATTTCTTGGATCGGCGCTCGCCCTTTCTATCCCCCCGGGCGGGGCCTCTGGCGCCGCCACCGGCGCGCTCCGTGCGCCAGTGAGAGACGTTCAGCGCAGATCCAAGAAACCCGTGCAGATCTGACAGTTCACGCGCAGGTCGTTGGGTTTTGTTCCTGCAAGGACGGGGGGCGGCTGCGCCTCCGCACCGTGCTGCAGACGTTCTTCAGGTCCGTGCAGGAGTGGTGGGCTCGGGGGGGGGGGGGCGCATCGACCCCCAATCGCCCACTGATCGCCGATAGAGGCCCAGTAGCCCACCCCCGCCCAGGGGCGTGGGGTCTCGCTGTCGTGGGCATGTCGCTGATGTGTCGGCGATGCATTGTCGATTCTGGGGGTGCATGGTTCCCCCACGTGCCGATCCCCCCCCATGTCGTTGCGCCTCGAGGAGGTGGATGCCAGGGTGCAGAGCGTGATCACGATGCAGGCGGCGCTGGCGGAGCGCAGGGCAAGGGACGCCGGGCTGGCGGGCGCGCGCCGGTCGGAGGTGCGCAGGGGCAACGGCAGGCGCCCGCCGGCCACGCTGCCTCTCAGGCCCCTGCTGCCGGGGGTGCTGCAGCTGAAGGTGCGTGCGGCGTACGATCTGGCGCTGCCCGGGGGCGTCGATGGCCTCCCGAGCGCTTCTGTGTGCGCTTGCGTGGGGAGCGCCAGCCAAGAGACCAGCATCTACCGCATGGGTGCGGGCCCCCAGTGGAGCAGGCACCTCACGGGGACCATCTTCAACTTTGACGTTTCTGATGCAAGGTACTTGGATCTTGACGTTTACAGCAGAGTGGAGGTCGCGTCGGACAGGCAGACGGTGACGTACGGTGAGGCGCAGGTTGACATCGCAAGCGTACCGTTCGATGAGTGGCAGAAGCTGCGTCTGCCCCTGCTCTCGAGCGAGGAGCCCGCCGTCCAGCAGGGCGAGCTTGAGTTCGAGGTCCGCTTCCTCCCCCTTCAGAACCTGGAATGCCTGTGCGACGCGGACCTTGCCAGCCTGAAGCACGTCCCCCTCCTTGCGATTGGCACCAGCTTGTCCCGATGCCGATCTCACAGCTTCTGAGGGCGTATCCCCAAGATTGTCGTCGCCTTTGGGCTTGTCCATCTCAGGGATGAGTGATGAGCTTGAGGCTGGTTACTTTGATCACCGCTAAGGTTGCCAAGGGGAAAGGGGCGTTATGAGTCGATGCTCATGTAGGTGATACCTGGCCGAACCTAGCTTATACATTGACTACACCTGCCCGAATAAGCTTAAAGGGGGCGAGGTAACTCTGCTAAATAGACTCCTCCCACTGAGCCCAGATCTCTGCCCCCCCGTGCGCCGCTCAGGGCATGTGCAGCCCACTCATGAGTTGGCCAGATTAGAACCCACCTTGGCATCCATTCATAACGGCCCGCATCCCCTTGGCAACCTAAGCGGTGATCCAAGTGACCAGCCTCGATCTCATCCCTTATGCCTGAGATGGACAAGCCCAATGGCGACGGCAATCTTGGGGATGCGCCCTCAGACGCTGTCCGAATTTCCAGCCGAAAACTGAGTCGAATTCTGGTCGGCGTAAACCGAGTTGGCCGAAATTCCGGTCGACTTCCAGTGCGCCGGCCGAGTTTCCAGTCGATTTCAGCCACGTTGGGGATGCCGTGGTCGGCGTTCGGGGGGAGCGCGCCGATGTTGGCCAGATCTGGGGCCCGCGAGGGACCCTGCAGGGTCCCCAACTCCTCGTGCTCCCCTCTCTCGCCCGTGCGAGCCGCGCGCTGGCATGGAGAGAATTGGGGCCCGCGCGTGAGCCAGGCAGCATGGGGGGTCCATGGGGGGGTCGGCGGGTTCGGGGGACTCCCATACCAGACTCGTGTCGAAGGGCAGGGATCGCGAGGAGGAGGAGGAGGAGGAGGAGGAGGAGGAGGAGGAGGAGCAGGAGGCGGAGGAGCAGGAGCAGGAGGAGGAGGAGGAGGAGGAGGAGGAGGAGGAGGAGGAGGAGGAGGAGGAGAAGGAGGAGGAGGAGGACAGAGAGAGGAGGAGCAGGAGGAGGACAAGGGGGAGGAGGATGAGCGGGTGATCCAAGCAGGACCTGCTGTCGTCCTCGCGCCAGAACTCCTCCACGCGGTCCGAGGCCGCCGCGGATGACGAGCGGGGCCCCAGCGACGGGTGGACGGCGGGCGGCGGGCGCGGCGCCGTTCGGAGCGGCAGGTCGCCGCGCGCCGCCGCGCACGCGGCGAAAGCAGGTTGTGACGTGGCCCAGACCCCGTCGCATCGTGCATATTTTCGCGACGGGAGTTTTTCTGTTATCTTCGGCCTACGGTGCCCTCGCCGGTCCCTAGGGCCGTCAGGAAACGACCCAAGACGAAATGGCGGTTCGCGACGGGAGTTCTTTTGTTATCTTCGTTCACTGGGGCCCTCGCCGGGCTCCAGGGCCATCAGGAAACGACCCAAGACGAATCGAGACCTCCAGGGGTCCACGTCGTGAGGAAATCATGACGTCGGGGGGTCTGGGGAGGAGAAAAAGGCACCGACACCGCTACCCTTGCCTCGCTTTCGCCCTTTCGGGCCTCCTGGGAGGCCCTCGTCGTCACCATCAGATGTGCCCCGAAAGTCTGGTCGGAGCGTACCCCAGGAGAGGCCAGCGGAGTATTGGTCTGAGTACCTTTTGGGTTCCCCAGAAGCGGCGGCCGAGCTGGATGCAGTGCATGCGCCGTCGTCCCTCAGCAGTTTGCCGCGTGCTGCCGCAAATGCCGCAAACGCGGGCTATCGCATGGCTAGCAGCTTCGGAGCGGTGACCGGACCCGATGCCATGCCAGCGTCGCCGTCCCGGAGGCGCCTGCGGTTGGGCTCGCGAAGCTCGCTGACGAAGGGCCAAGAGTCGCCGATGCGCAGCAGCCGCTCCTCCCTGGTTCGCGATTTCTCGCGGCACTCCCTCCAGGCGACCTTTCCCTACCTCGAGGTCAGCAGCTGGAGAGGCTCGGTCCTGCACAGCCCCCACCCCTCGGCGACGGCCTTGAGTGCCACGCACTGGCTGTTGCCCACGCAGCAGCACCCGCTGGAAGAGCAAGGGCCGACAGACGAGCCAGAGGACCCTAGGCCTCCCAGATGGGGTCCGAGTAGATGGGGTCGGCGGATCACGCAGCATCGCCGATTCATCTGTGATGCGGATCGATGTGGAGCACGATTTTCTATGCGCCGACGGCCCCGACGCATCGTCGATGCGGCGCGATCCCCCGACCTTCTATCTGCTCGGACCCCCATCTGGGAGGCCTGTGAGGACGGCGCGGCCGCGGGCGACAGGTTGTCGCGCACCCTCGGCCTTGCTTGCCAGGTGCCCTCACTGACCGAGGTCGACATCATCCTGGGGCTGCCGTCCCCGAAGCACGCCGCTGGCAGCCGCCTGGCGGCCTTCATCCACGACGACAGCCTGAGCGAGGGCGAGACGGACGAAGGGCGCGCGCAGACGTGGCCGTTGGCGCAGACGTGCGGCCAGGCGTCGCCGAGGCTCCGGGCCTCCTAAATGGGGTCGGGGTAGATGGAGCTGGGGATTCGTGCCGCATCGCCGATGCATCGGCGATGCGGTTCGATGTGGTGCCAGATTTTCTCAATCCCGCCGTCGCCGATGCTTCGCCGACGTCGCCCGATGCATCGCCAGCGCATCGGCGATGCGCTGGGGTCTTTCGACCCCATCTACTCGGACTCCACTTCCCAGACGTGCGATGCCCTGATGTTGTAAGTACTGGGACCCCGGAGGTCCCGCCTCACAGGGCTGATTCTTCATCCCGAGTGGTGTGTTGACGGTCCTGGGGCCAGGCGAGGACCCCCAGAGCTCGAAAATCATTAAAAACCTCCCGCCACTTGAGCGACGCAGAAGAGCGGGCCGAGCACACAGCCACGAATTTCGGCCACGCTCGCAGGACAGAGCGTGCGGGCTGCGTGGATGGACAGCTCGGACTTGTCTAGCCGCTGCCTCAGATCTGGGCGTTGCAGTTATCTCGCCCTGGGCGTTTTCGCCTGGTTTCGGGCCCGGGGCCCGCGCAGATCGATCCAGCTTGAAAGAATTGCGCAGATTGACATCGACTACATACGGCTCCAGTCGTGACTTTCTGCTAGGCCGTGCCGTTGGCTGCGAGGGGTCGCCGGCCAGAAAGGGGCGGCCGTCGCGCCTCTGAAAGCATCCCACGTGAGCGACGAAAAGACACGGGTCTTGCGCACGAATGCGAGGCGGGCGGCCGCGTGGCCGTTAGTGCACGCTCGGAGGCTTAATTTTGTAGGCTGGCTCGGGGCGGAATCTCTAACGCATCTGCGCCGAGCCTCAATTCTGCCAAAGCCTACGTGGCCACCGGGGCTGGCAGCTTCGTGGGCTGGGGCGCTTTGGCGGCTGCCACTTCACGGGAGGTGACGCTCACATTCGCAGTGGCACTGTTCAAGGCCGGCTCTGTCTGCGAGGCCCCTTTTCGGGTGTTCACCTCGCCTGTTTTCCTGGCCCTTTCGCCTCTCTCCCTTAGGTCGTTGCTTTTTGCGGGCCTGGCCAGCCCTCTCTGCTTGCCTCCTCTCGCCCCGCCTGTCTGGGATTTCTATTTCGCTTGGTCGTGCTGCCGCCAAGGCGCTCGACGTTCGAGGGCGTGTAGGTTTGCGTGGTAATTCACGGAGCTTCGTATAACGCCTTGTGGGTCTCCCTCCTGCGTCCTCCTCTCCCTCCTCCTCGTCTCCCCCTGTGGCAAGCGTTTTTTGATTCTCTGGCTCGCGCCATGGCTCTAAGCAGCCGCTGCGCACGGGTGCCCGTTTGGGCAACCACGCTGCCCCTCCCTCCTCCTCCTCCTCCTCCTCCTCCTCCTCCTCCTCCTCCTCCTCCTCCTCCGTAGCCATTTTGGCTCAAGATGCAGGTTTCCCTTGGGAACCAAGCGGATACCGCTAGTCCGCGGCTGGCAAGACTTCCTGAAGTCTGGCATCACTTCTGGTCCACCTCACCTGCGATCGGGTCGGGGGGTAAACGGAGGCCTTTTCCCGTTCCTGTCGGCCCGATCGCCACCAGCTTCGAAGCCATGGGCCCCGCGAGGGATGGCACGCATGTGGGCGATGGCTGTGCTGGCGGCGGCGGCGGCGGCAGGCAGGCCAGCAGCTCCTCGCCTGACACGGTGGGCAGCAGGAGTACCTCCCGCAGCGAGCATCGCCGTCGCGGCGAGCGTCGTCGGGAGCGACGCCAGCAGGCCGCAGCCAGTGAGGAGGCCACGCCTCGGCCTCGTCGCCAGCACGACGCCCGCCTATCTGGCTGGGATGTGGTGCCCCCTGCCCCGCCACACGACGCCCATAGAGGAGCCGCCGCTGGACCCCTGCGCGGCATGGTGCTTTCCGAGGGCGACGTCGCGGCACTCGAGCTCATGCCGACCTTCGCATCGCAGTCGACCCCGCCGCACGGCGAGCAGGACGCCTGGGCGGCAGCGGCTGCACAGCGATTCGGCCCGCCGCCAGCGGCTGGGGGAGCTCCTGCCGCCGCCTCTGGCACGGCGACCCTCTCCAGCATGCTGGCCAACATGGAGCGCCGCCTCGGCTCGCAGATCCAGTCAACTACAAACAACCTCTCGCAGATCTTCCAGTCGACCCAGCAGGAGTTCGCCCAGGCCGTCGACGCCCGCTTCGCCTGGGCAGCATGGAGCAACGGATGGCAGACTTCGGCCGCCTCCGCCAGGAGATGGTCGACCTCCGTGCTGAGATGGGCGTCGTGGCGTCGGCCACCCCGCAGGCCCCGATGCTGGAGACGGGCTGGTCGAGGCCCATCGACCCCACCATCCTGTCCATCGTGGTGCGCGCGAACGTCCCGAAGGGGGCGGTCGCGCAGGCGCTGCAGCAGCTCCTGGTGGACGCCGACCTGCACAACCTCACCCCTGAGGCGACAAGGCTGGAGGGCGAGGAGATGGGGAGGCACTTCAAGCTCCGCTGCATGGGAGCCGCGGGCCTGGCCTCGCGGCGCGTGGGGAAGCTCGTGGGCCTTCTGCGCACAGGCCCCTCCGCGTGGCGGGAGTTCGCCGCCGTGCTGCCGAACGGACCGAGCGTCCCCCTCAGCGTGGGCCGCGACCGCAACCAGTCCCAGATCTCCCACGAGATCTACCTCAAGCGCATCAAGGCCGCCCTTCAGGAGAAGATCGAGGCACGTCTCTTCGCCGACAAGGAGGCCAACGCCATCACGGTCAAGTGGCGCCAGCTGCTCAAGCTCTCCATCCCGTCCCCAGGTGCCACACCGACCGTCTCGTGGAACATGGTGGCTGTGCGTGCGATCGACCAGACGCAGGAGGCCCTGCAGGCGGTGGTGGATCGCGTCTTGGAGCCCGAGGCGCAGCAGTGGACGCTTTGACACTCTCTCGCGCGCCTGGGGAGGCGATGGGGATGGTGTGCATCTGGGGACCTGGAACTGCCGTGCTCTCAAGCAGCCTGGGAAGAATGCCACCAAGAAGATCAAGAAGAAACTTGCGTATATTCAGCGATATTGGAAGGGGCCAATGATGCTGGCGCTGCAGGAGACGCATGCTTCCGAGTACAGCATGCAGGTGCTTCTGGAGCGATTGGTAAACCGCTCTGCTGCTTCTCCTCGTGCATGCCAGGAGGCCGAGAAGACGCAGGAGGGGTAGCCACGGTGGTGCCCGCCACTGCTGACGGCTACGCCTGCGATTTTGTTCCTGAGGAGATGGTCCCTGGTCGCATCCTCAGGCTCAGTGGTGAAGTTCGTCCTTCGACTCAGGGGAGTCAGCCGTGCAACTTCGTCCACTGGAACATCCACAACCACGACATTTCACCTGATCAACGGCGGCGCGTTGCAGAACGCCTTCGGCAAGACCTGGCTTGGGCGCGCCAGTGCCCCGCCACCCGCTCCACCTTCGTCGTGGGCGACTTCAACTTCGGCGACTACGACGAGACTGACAGCTTCCTGGATGACGACCAGCACCTGCAGGCCCAGGCCACGCGGCCCAGCCGCGGCGGAGGCGGACGTGCTCAAGCGGCAGCCGCAACTGGCCAGACCGCGCGCCTGGCCCGTCACCCCGGCCAGCGGCAATGGCTGGATGCGCTGCGGGCTGCCACGGAGATGATGCCTGGCAAGCCGACGCACTGGAACGCCGGCACGCGCACCAGCTCCTCCATCGACCGCGTGTTCGTGGGGATCCCGCGGTGGCAGCTCTGCCAAGGCTGGCAGGCGTGCCAAGTGCGAGGCGAGGCGCGGGAGATGCACATCCGCGGGATTAGCGATCACTCCATGGTCGCTGTCTCGCTGCTGCGGCGCACGCCTGCGCGCCGACGCCCTGACACGCCAGCGGCCATCCCCCTCGCCGTGGTCCAGCGCCCGCGCTTCAAGGAGATTGTTGACGGGTACCTGGCGATGGTCCCCATGCAGCACCAAGAGCCGCCCGACGAATACAAGTATTTCACGAGGATCCTGCAGGCGGCGGCCAAGGATGTCCAGAACGAGATCCTCGTTGCCGAGGGCTGGTCCAAGGGCGCCTCAGCCATCATCTGGCGCCAGCTGGCGAGGGCTTTCTGGCGCCAAGACTGGAGGCTGGCGCAGCTGGTGGTGGCCCAGAACGCCTGGGCGAGTGAGCTGGTCAGGGCCTCGGAGCAGTCCCGCACGGTCGAGATCCTCGACTACGCGGAGTTCCAGAAGAGATACAACATCGCCCAGCGGAAGGACGCGGCGGGCAGACGCCGCGTCCTTGAGGAGGCGGCCCAGCATGAACCTGAAGAAAACCGTCGGCGTCAGCTAGTGGCCCAGCAGCGGGCTCTGAAGCGACGGGCGCGGCTCTGGGCTCCCTTCAACGCTCGGCGCTACCTCGCGTGCCTCGAGACAGATGGTGCCGAGCTGACCGAGGCCTCCGACATCAACGCAGCGCTGGGCCAACACTGGGGCAAGGTGTTCTGCCCGCCGACGCCAGCCGCGCTCACCGAGCAGAGGGCCCGAGAGCAGCCGGCCTACCTGAAGCGCTTCGGGGTCTCCGCGGTCGACTGGGACGCCCACCGCCCGCCCGCAGTGGCAACGGTGCGAGAGGCGCTCCGCCGTGCGCGCCCAGCGGCCCCTGGCCCAGACGGCCTCCCCGCCGCGGCCTGGGCTGTGGCCTCGGGCGGCGCAGAGGCTCTCCACCATTCCCTGGTGCGGATGCTGGATGGCTTGCCCATGCGCTCGGACTACAGACACGCGATCAGCATCTTCCTGCCGAAGGGCTCGCTGGTGACCGACATTGTGAGCGTCTCGCGAGCCCCTGGCTGCACGCGCCCGCTGTCGTTGCGCAACACGGGGGCCAAGGCGATCAGCGCGGCCCTGAACCACCCTCTGAAGCGGGCCGTGCAAGCGGCAGTGGCGCCCAGCCAGCGCGGCTTCATCTGTGAGCGTCACTTTCTCGAGAGCCTAATTGAGCTCGACGGTCACGCGAGAATTGCAAGCATGCGTGCTCTGAATCACCCCCCCTCTGACCTCGCCTCGCCTCTGCTTCTTGCCTATGACTATGCGCATGCCTTCCCATCTGTGGCCCACTCGTGGCTCTGGGCCGTCCTGACCCAGTGGGGAGCCCCAGAGGCCCTGGTGAATGCAATCCGAGCCAACTATCTTATGGCTGCTGCCGTTAGCTCCGACTGCTCTCGGGGCCTCCTCTTCCTCATCCTCGCGGGGGTCCTCCAGGGTGATCCTCTTTCTGGCAGTCTGTTCGTCCTAGCTGCTCGTCCGTTCTGCGCGGATATGGAGCGCGCCCTAGAGGCCGCCGGCACAGGAGTCGGGAGGTGGCGCGCGGACAACGCGGGGGCGGTTGCGTGGGGAAAGCCAGGCCTCAGGGAGCTCGCTAGGATTTTCAAGAACTCCGATAAATTGGCGGGGCTCGCTTTAAAACCCCGAAATGCTGTGCCACCCCTCTTTGGGCCCCGTGGTCGGATGATCTCATTGCCCCGACGTCCGGACTGCTGGCCTCCGCGTGTACATCCTGGGCTGAGTTCAAGGTCGGCCCAACGCTTGAGTACCTCGGCTGTATTGTAGGCCCCGCTGCTGAGAGAGAAGAGCAGTGGGCAGCACCTGCGGCGAAGCTTGAGCACCGCGTCGCAGCCCTGGCGCGGTCCCATGCTGACACTGCTGCCGTCGTCTCGCTCTATCACGAGCGGGCGCTCAGCGTGCTCTCGTACAAGTCACAGTTATATGAGATCCCTCGGTCCCTCCAGCGGCGCGAGAAAGATCTGTTGACCCGAGTGTTTCGGGCCCCTGGATCCTGGCTCTCTGCCTCCTGCTTCCTCGACCTCACTCCCTCGGTGGTCCGCGGGTCCAGGGTATCCGAAGCAACGCTCTCGCCGCCAGGATGAGGACCGCCCTGTCGTTTAAAGAGTGTTGGTCCAGGATGCGCGGCCTCCTAGAAGCCGCTGCGTGGGGGCGCGCCCAGGGTGGCCAGCTGCACTGGCGCGGCCCCCGTGGGGCCCAGGAGCTCTGCCACTGGCCGTCCTTCTGGCGGGGGCCGGCGGTGGCGCGGTCCTTGCGGGAGGCGGCGGAAGCTAGGCCGTCCTTGGGGCGGGGCCGACGGGCGGCCCAAGAGGGGCTGGCGGCCCTCGAGGCCGAGCGTCGTGCTGCGCGGGAACGCTCCGCACCGCAGAGGGTGGGGCGATCTGGCGCTGCTGGCAAAGGCGTCCCAAGGCTCAAAGTGCAGCGCGCTCTCTTGAGAGGTATCCGTCCTGCGATTTACCTGTCTCCCCCTCGTGCCCCCTCCTCCCCTCCTCGGTCTCTCATCGCCTGCCTGCGTCTCCATCTCGTTAAGTGGTTTTCGATCCCTCTCGAGACCTCTGCGGCCTTCGACTGGGCCGCCATTAATTCGACGCTCGCCTCGGCCCCCCCCTCATGGCGGATGGCCGCCATCCGTACCTGGACAGGGGGGTGGGTCACAGACACCAGACTAAGGAATGCCGACCGAGGCTGCCTGCTCGGGTGCGAATGCGCCCGAGATAGCCTTTCTCACTACATCGATTGCCGTCGATTTCTCTGGAATGTTGCTATGGTCTCCCGTCTCAACCTTCCTGCTTCTCTCTCTGACCGTCTTGCTCTTTCTGAATGCTCGCTGGGGCGTCTGCGTCAGATTGTCATTCTTTATCATTTCCACCGCCTGCTGCACGCGCAAAGGCGAGCCCCTGGCTCGACCGCGCCCGACCCGCCCACCTCACTCCTCATCGCTCGCGCAGCTCGCCTCGCCACCGACTTGCCGATGGGCGAGTGGAGGCGCTCGAGCGGGCAGCGGCTGAGGGGCCAAGGGTAGCTTGACCAAGGGACCTCCGTGGACGCTCCGCCTCCTCCTCCTCCTCGTCCGCTCCTCCTCCTCCTTCTGATTCTCTTCCTCGTCGCGCGCTCGCCTGGGCAATCATTGTCACAGGAAGCTCCTCATGCTGACTTCTGTGGGTCCCGGCGGGCAGGAGTTGTCCACTCTGGCCCGCGCCTGCAGCATGGAGCATGTGGAGCTTCGTGGTCGTCCTCAGCTCCTCCCTCCCGGAAGAATATTGTCGTGTTTCATCCAGGACGCGAGCGTGTCTGGCCCTGACCACTGGATACTCCCAGATGCGATCGACGAGCTGGGTCGCTACCGATTTTGCTTCAAATTTCGGTATCGGTCCCGACCGCTATGCTTCAAATTCGGTCGCGACCGATTAGGAGCATGACGTCGACCCCCAGAGGACTCGACCCTTCCCCGGGACCGGCGTTTTTTATTATCAGTCGTCTCCTGGCGGTTTTGACGCCCGGCGAGGGGCCCTAGAGACCGACCACGACGAACGACAACCCGCCTGGACTTCTTCCAGACGCGGGCCCTGCCTTGGGAGCCTGTCTGGGGGCCATGGTCGGGCCCCTCCTGGGCCCAGGAGCTGTGTATGCGCCCTCCTGGCCAAGCCAGAAGGGCGTGGCGCATACCCCCGCTGCTGGGTTCAGGATGGGGGCCAGGGAGCAGTGGATCTCCATGTCACAGATTTCGCCGCCCTGCCAGAGGCGCCACGGCCGCGCATGCCGGGCCGGCGACCCCCCGCAGCCGGCGGCCCTGCCGCGCCACCGCCCGCAGGCCGGCGGCCGCACCGCGCACGACCGCTCCCGCGCTTCGGGCGCGCCCGACGGTCTGCCGCGCGCGGCTGCGCCGGCGGCCGGGCTGGAGCCCATGGGAGGCTTTCGGGGCTCACGGAGCGGGGGTCGTCCCCAGGCATGTTCGCGTTCTTCGGCCACGCGCAGAGGGAGGCATGGGGGGAGGGGGGAAGACTTCCGAGCAGCACCTCTGCTTCTTAGAAGGCGCGGGCCAAGCTTGTCTGCAGGTGTATGACCGGCGCCTTCCAAGTAGCAGCCTCCTTCTAGGAAGCCGTCCCCCTTCCCCCATACCCCCTTGGGCGCGCCGCGAACGAAACGGTGGTCAGCCCCAGACGTGTTCGCGTTCTGAAAAGAGGGCGCGCCTTTTTTTATATATACATATATATATTTATATATAACAAAAAACAAAAAACAAAAAAACAAACAAAAAAAAAACTGCCTCCCGGGGGCCCTCGCCGGAAAGGCAACTCGGGATGAAGAACCGGCCCCGGGGAAAGGGTCGGGGCTTCCAGGGACCGCGCACTGAAAACATCAGGCAGCGCATGTCTGGATGTGGATCTAATGAGGGCGTCGCATGTCTGGATCCAATATCCAGACACACGTCGTTCAGATGTATTCAATTTGCGGTTCCTGGAAGTCCTGGCCCTTCCGCCAGGGCCAGTTCTTCATCCCGAATCGTTTTTTGTCGGTCCTGGGGCCTGGAGGCCGAACATAGCGAAGCACCGCCCGTCCAGATTCTTTCAAGACGCGAGCATGTCTGGTTAAGCGGCCGGCTGGGCTTCGCGGCAGGGCCGTGGCCGACCCAGGTGCGTGCTGACCTGGGTGATTGTGCGTTCCCGGGGCCCGGCGGAGGGACGCGGCGGGCCCCCCGAGCAGATCGCTAGGTATCGGCATCGCCCAACCATATATTTTGCAAACGTTGAAGCACAATCGGTAGCGACCAGCGTCGTCGATTGCGATTGGAAAACTCCAGGTCCAGTGATCAGGGCCAGAGATGCTCGCGTCTTGAGAAAACCACGACGGGAGTTGTTCGGCCGTTTCCTCAGATCTGGGCGCTGCCTCAGATCAGCGGGCGTTCTCGCCCGGCTTCGGGCACCGTGGCCCTCACATATCGATCCAGCTCGAAAAATGAACAAGAAAGATGGGGTCTAGGACTTCCATTGTGTTTTTTGGGGGTTTGGTTTGCAACTTCGGATCTCGTGGGCGAAAACATATATGTGTCCGCGGCCTCGCGGGCCAGGCCCCTGGGCCACGACCCTGCGGATACGGGGGCGTTCTTTCGCGAATGTCCCATGCGGAGCGTATTCGTGCGACCATCCCCTGGATCGCGCCCCGGCATCCAGACCGCGAGGGCGCATGTACGGATACGTTCGTTGCTCGTGAAAGCATCGGCACCACCCAAGCATACTTGGTATGGCATCGGGTTGCGCACAGACAGCCCACCCAAGTAGTCCTGGCTGGCCTCAGCAGGCCCCTCGAGTAGTCCCAGCTCGTCAAAAAGGTGCCCCCCGAGCAGTCCGGGGCGGTCTCAACACCTTGGCGCCGCCTCCAGCGCCTGGAGCGCTCCGCGCCCCAGGGTTGAGATGTTGAGACCAGCCAGACAACTCGGGGGGCCTGGTGAGGCCAGGTGGGACAACTCGGGGGGCCAGCCGGGACTACCTGGGGAGGCTGTCTGTGCGCAGCCCGAACCCGTACCAAACCTATTCATATTCTCCCACCTGTTCTGGTTGCGAAAAAAGTCACGACGTTTTCGTTTGGTTTTTGCCATGCAGGGGGCCAACGCCAGGCCCCGGGGCCGTCAGTAAACGACCCGGAATGATAAAGCCAGTCCGGGGGAACGGGTCGAGACCTCAAGAGGTTCACGCTGTAAACAACTGATAACGTCGGGGGCCTGCGTCCCATCAGCGATCGACGTTCGATCCGTACCCTGCTACTGCCCCCCCCGCTCTGGGCGCCAGGGGCAGCAGGGCATGTGCAACAAACGCGCGGCTCCTGAGGCCAGAGTCTTACCCATGCCGCCGCTCTGAGGGTCGGGGCGCGAGCGGGGGCATGTGCAACATGTCGACCGCCCCAAGGCATCCTCGAGATCGGCGCGCTCGCGCCCGCCGGCTTCAGCGCTCGCTCCTGGGACGCCTCGCTGGCGCCCGCGCCGACGAGCTCGCGCCAGTGGCCGCACGGGCGCGAGCGGGTCGCCGAGGGGGCGCAGACTCCGAGGGCTCGCGCGGCCAGGCCGCTCGGGGGTGGCGGGGCCTCAGCAACGGAGCGGGCGCGCCTTCTCCCGCTGCCGCTGGGGCGTGCGTGCGCCGCCGGTGGTCACGAGCGACGAACGCATCCATTCGGTGGCGTCAGAGGAGGGAAAGGTACGCTTACCGCCACCCTTCCCTCGTTTTCTCCTTTTTGGGCCCTCTTGGGAGGTCCGCGTCGCCACCACTGATTCGCTTCGAAATCCTGGTCAGAACGCACCTCGGGAGAGGCCCAGGGAGTGGCGGTATCGTTTTTTTTTTTGTTTCCCTAGATCCTCGCCCGTCCGCGGTTCAGACATTTCGATGAGTGACGGGTAGTGTTTGGAATTCGTCGAACACGCGGCGAAATCTGGACGCGATCCGCACCTCCCATCGGCTCAGGAGAATGGATGGCTGGCGGGGGTAGGTCCGGATGTCGCCACCTATCCATGTTCCCTGCGATCCTAGCGTTTGATTTGTTTCGAGGCAGGCGCTTTCGCTCGGTTTCGGGCCCCAGGGGCCATCACAGGCCGATCCAGCTCTCAGAACGGCGCAGAGAGATGCAGGCCTCTGGTCGTAATATTTACGAGCTGAGGTTGCATGTCTCGCGATGTCGGATCTCAGAGTTCGGGCATTGAGGGAACGCCCGCCCAGGCAAGGCGACAGGAAATCCGCACCGGTGAAGCCGACATTGGCATTCGATTGTGCTGGTGTAGCCCCCAGTCGGGTTCGGTAATCGGCGTGCGTTGCGCCAGATACGTTCGCTTGTGTTCGGAAATCGATGAGCTACCCCGCTGGGGTGCACTCGGAATGCAGTGCCGTGCGCACGTGGAGTGTCCCTGGCAGTTTTCGCTAAGGGCGTTTTGCAAAACGGTGTCTTGTCAATCTGTGGCGCACACGTCCACGCCCTCGCGGTCTGGGTTCTGGGACGCGATCCCGCAGATGCGCAGTCGTAGGGGTACGTTCCGCGCGGGGCATCCTCCCAAAAGCGTCCTCTATGCATAGGGGCATGGGCCCGGCCCGCGAGGCCGTGGATATGGACGTATGCTTCCCGCCCACGAGTTAGAGGGGGGCTAGGAGGGGAGGAAAGGGGGGTTAGGAGGAAAGGGGAAGACTTCTCAGAAGCACCCTGCTGATTTGAAGGCGCGGGCCTTGTCTATGGATGTAGGGCGCCTTTCTATGAAGCGGCCTCCTTCTCAGAAGCCTTCCTCCCTCCCCCGATCCCCTCGTGCGCCGCCACGAGGTGGAGGGCACCGTGACGACAGCCTGCAGCCCGAGGAGGCGGCAGCGGCAGGGCGCCACGCGCCCGACGATGGCCCAGTGCCGCGGCCGCCCACCAGGCCGCTGCCCATGCGGCCTCGGCCGCCGCCCAGGCAGGCGGAGGCCCCCTAAATGGTGCGGTAACCACTAGGCGGCGAGCGAGGGGGTAAGTGATGAGGAGGAGGGCTTATCTCAGAAGGTGCCGAGGCTTCTCAGAAGCTTTCTGGCCTACTGAAAAGTTGTTTGTGTCTTCGGGGAAGGCTCAGGAAACCTTCCAGAAGGCCGAGGGACTTCCGAGCCTTCTGAGAGGGCCCGCCCCTTCTCAGAAGGCTGCCGACAGACGGTGCGGTGACCACACCGTGTGGTGACCATACGGTTTCGGGACTCGGGCAGCTCTACAAGGACGTCTCGGGCGACTGGGGCATCCAGGGACCCAAAATCCCACCACTGTGCGGCGACGGACCGTGCGGTGAGATTCCTGGGATTTCGAGTCCACCGCACGGTCCCTCCAGAAGCCATCGTTCCCCCTGATGTTGCCCTTTGATTTTCGGGTCATAGCTCGGCTCCTGGCGGCCGATAGGCACGATCCGGGCATCCCTGGAACGCTCTCGGCGAGCCGCAGTTGCTGGAAAGCACCCCGAGGCCAGAAAACCGCCGTCACCGCACGCCTTGTCCCCGCGCGGTTTGCCACCGCGCGGTGAGGTCTTTGGGGTTTCGAGATCTCCGCACGGTTTGCCACCGCACCGTTCCGGGGACCCCCAAAGTCAGGAGGGGAAATACACATAGACACAAACAATCGTGGATTTCCATGACAACATTGGAGCAGATGGGAAGTGGAGGGGACGGCGAACATCAAAAACATGTGTTTGAAAAAATGGGGGATCCTTGGATTTATGTCTATTTGTTTTTGTGTCCCTGGGCCCCTTCACCAAAGGCAGTGCTTCGTTTTCGCCGACGGCACCGCCGTGCCTGGCGGCGGGCTCACGGCGTATCGGCTCGGTGCCGCAGGGGCTGCAGCGGTCAGCAGCACGCCGCCTCTCCGAGGCTCGTAGGGGTAAAATAATTAGATGCCGCGTCTCGCCCTGGAGAGCCTCTGAGATCCTCCCGTCGCAGGAGGCTTCATTCAGGAGGGAAAAAACACAGACACGAATCATTGTCGATTGCAGTGAAAACATCGAAAGTATGGGAAGCGCAGGGAAGACGAACATCCAGAAAATATGTGAGAATATGGGGGATCCTGGGGCCTCGCAGATCGATCCGGCCAACTGCAGCACAAACATGGGTTCCAGGGCTCCGGTCGTGATTTTCCACGATGTTGCATCTTGTGCGTGACGTCGGATCTATGGGGCCTGTTGCGCCCTCGTCGCCACGGCTGGATCCTCCTCGAAATTTCGGTCAGAATGTACCCGGGGAGACCCAGATCTCCTCGCGCCGCGAACAAAAACATGGCGGGAGGTTTTTTGCGGTTCGGCCTTTGGAGGCCGTCGCTGGGCCTTGGGACCGTAAACAAAGCAGCTCGGGATGAAACGCCGGTCCTGGGAACGGGTCGAGGGGTCCAGGGGCCCACGTCGCGAAAACCCTCTAGCACTCTAGCATGACGTCGGGGGTCTGCGGGTCGAAGTGCGAGGGTCGAGGCTCGAGGTTTTGGGGCGTCTTTTTCGCCACTTGCACACATGCTTCCGGCGGGTCCTCGGCTTCCCCTCGAAGTTCTGGTCGGAGCGCGTCCCAGGACGGGCTGGGGGGCCAACTCTTAACCCCAGGCCTCCAGCGTCTTGAGACACTCAAGGCGGAAGGCATCCGGCCGCAAAGGGAGAAGCCCTCGTTGTCTCGCCTGTATTTATCTCGAAATATTTGTTAGTTGGATCACCGCTGGGGGTTCTACGGTAGATTCGTGTGGCGTCGGCGCGCGCAAAGGTTTTTGACACCGTTTCGATATTTCCACCCTGAATCGATCGCGGCCCCGATCGTTCAAGGTCGAATTCCGTCGGGCACAACGGCGTTGCCGTGTCCCTCGGTGCTTCCGCGTCGTATAGTTCAAACTTGAACGCCTTCGCCGGCGTCGCCGGCGCGCCAACGTATTCGCCCACTCAGCCCAACTATTTGCCCCTCGTAAGCCGCTTAGGGCACTTGCAGCCCACTTCTAAGCTAGGTTAGATCAGATATAACACACCCTGGCATCCACTTAGACGCCTTCTATCCCCGCAGCAACCCCAGCGGTGATCCAAGTAGGGTGCACCCCAGGAGAGGTCATGGGAGTAGCGGTATCGTACTACCTTAGATTCCGATGCCGCTGCTCGTCTTGGAGGGCCTTCGTCGCCAAGGTTGGATTCTGATCAGAACGCATCCCTGGAGAGGTCCGAGGAGTAGTGGTACTGGTACCTTCCCAGGCATCCGACGATTGTTTCGATGTGCAGACCAAGAGGTCTGGACCCCTTCCTGGGGCGTGGTGTTTCATTCTGGAACAATTTTAGATTGTTCCATTGTCTCATGGCACCGGAGGCCGAACCGTATATGGAACACGCTCAGATTGAAACATCAAGTCGTCGGAGGTATGGTTGTCGGGGCATACTTCGCGCCTCTGTCGGCCGATCGGGGCGATCCTGGCGCCCCAGGAACGCCCTCGGCGAGGCGCAGTTGGAGGACACCCCGAGTTCGGAGAACCGCTGAGAACCGACGAAGACGCCCAGAAATCTCGAACCTCGAGCTCCAAAAGCCTCGTCGGAGGTTCTTTTCGTTGTTCACCCATGAGGCGCGGCGGAGGGCGCCGATTCGGAGGGCGACCAGGCGTTCGGATGCTCCGAGGATCGGGGGCGTCCAGGAGGGGAGTGATGGCTAGGCTGGGTGGGGTGGATATCACGGCCAGGACAAGACATCTCCCAGATATCACGGACCCCTTCTTCTTCTTCTTATTATTCCTCTTCTTCTTCTTCTTATTGTTATTATTATTATTATTATTATTATTATTTTTATTATTGTTATTCCTCTTATGTTTCTTCTTTGGGTGCCTTCCCTGGCCCACCCTCTTCCGTGCACCTGCCTCGGGCCATGGTTTGATTGGCATCGCTTGGACGTGTACATGATTTCTCGGCGAGGAGCATTTTGGATCACCCTGCGAGCAAGAGGCACGACACCGAAAAGTTCACGGGGAAATGGACGCCCGAGCGGCTGCGAGTTTGGGACCCCTTCTCTGGGACGCCCCCTCCCTGGACGCCCCCGAGAGGAGGGGCAGCTCCCTGTCAGCCCGGACCGGCGGCTCCCTGTCGGCCCAGACCGCGGGCGGGAGGGCCCCGTGGGCAGCAGTCGCGCCGCCGCCGCCCGCTCCACAGCGGGGCCGCGGCGCCCCTCTCCCAGGAGCTGGGCCTCCCAGACGAGCGGCACAGAAAACTCAGCGGAGGAGAGGGTACCCATACCGTTACGTGGCACTTCCCTCGTTTTCGCCTTTTTGGGGGCCTCCTGGGAGAGGCCCTCGTCGCCACCGCTGGATTCGCCTCGAAGTTCTGGTCAGAACGTACCTCGGGAGAGGTCCGGGGCGTAGCGGCATCGGTACCTCTTGGTTCCCCCAATATTGGCGCGTAAGCTGCCTGAGCGCCCGCGTGCCCAATGCAACGTGCCGCGCTGGCGGCTCGCGCAAGCCACCGAGTAAGGTTTGCTTGCCACATCTCGCGTAAGACCCGTTTCTAGTCGTCGCCCAGATGGGATTCGAGTAGATGGGGTCGGAGGATCGCGCCGCATCGCCGATGCAATGCGGCTCGATGTGGACCCAGATCTCCACGCCGGTGTCGCCGATGTATCGCCGACGTCGCCGATGCATCGGTGGTGCATCGCCGATCTCTCACCATTGCGCCGATGCATCGGCACTGCGGAGCGATCCTCCGACCCCATCTACTCGAAATTAGTCTGGGAGGCCTCTACAGGAGTGGGAGGCTGCGCCACCTGGCGGCGCCAGGGCGGCTGCACGACGAGGAGACCCGCAGAGTGCGTCGATGTGCCCACGGGTTTTAGGATTTTGTTTTGACGATCCGGGCGACTTTCCTTGATCTCGGCTCCTGGGGCCCGCCATTGGGCCTCAGTCGGCCTCGAATGCCGGACCTTACCCCCTACCCTCGCCGATCAACGATTCTGGTAACTCGATAGGCGGCGGGGGTAGGGTTCGGAGTTCGTCGAGCAGTGTTGAACTCCGAACCACAACCCCCTCGTCCCACGGATTCAGGAGAAGCGATGGTTCGTATGGGTCGGGTTCGGATGTCGCCACCTACTCTGGGCTACCAAAAATGGACACGAGACGAAAAACACTCCTGGGGAAGGGGTCGGGACCTCCCCAGAATGTTAAATACCAGATTTGGTCGGTAGCGACCGGCGAGATCGGTCGCTACCGATTTTGCTTCAAATTCTGGTATCGGTCGCTGCTGATTTGGAGTGCCGATCGGTCGGTACCGATCGCGACCGACAAATTCGGGTATCCAATGATCTGGGTCCTGTGGGCCGCGGATGGGGAAAACACACATCCTCGGATGTCTGGTTATACGCAGGGTGCATGTGTACGTGCGCCGGCGTGTCCAGCCAGGACCACCCTGGGTTCCCGGGGTGGCGTGTGGGCTCTCCTCCTTGCCCCAGGCTAGGAGGGCATACACACCGTTCCAGGACCCAGCGAGACCCTTGTGGTGTATAGGTGCCTTCCCCCGAGATTCGGCGTCGCGGAAAAACAGTTCTGTGTAAATATTACCGTTGGCAGCGGGTGACCCTCAACAGCTCTTGAGAGTACTCAGCACAGCATAGAGAGGCCACAATATTGAGTATTATGGACAGTGAAGAGTAGTATAGAGTGTACTCTAGATGGTCCTCCAAGAGACACGATACGTGAAGCCATTTGGGATACCACACGGGAGAGAGGGAGACTATACAGGGGGGCCATAGAGGAGACCATACGGGAGACCATGCGGGGGTATCATACGGGAGGCGATGTTGGGGGCCATGCGGGAGCTGGCCATATGGGATGGCACACGGGAGATCACACGGGAGACCACGCGGGAGACCATTCGGAGACCATACGGGAGACCATGCAGCAGACCATGGGCCACCAAGCCACTGATTCCGAATCTGGAGGACCTCACGCCCGGCCCATAGAAGAATTTCAGTCTCTCTTTCTCTTTCTCGTTCTCGCTCTCTCTCTCTTTCTCTTTCTTTCTCTCTCTCTCTCTCTTTCCTATATCTATCTATATGTGTATACACATGTTTGTACACATCTCTACATGCTTGTATGTATGGGCATCCCCTCAGCACCCATTCATGCCATTCTTTCTTTGGGCGATGTTGCAGTGCCCTTTTCCTGTCCTTCCCTTTCCTCCCTTCTCGCTCCTTTCCCTTCACTGACGTCTGGTGGCGCATTTGTTCGACTCCACTGGCACACGCGCTCTGGCTGCTCGGGCGGCCAACGCCCGACAGCAGCGAAATGCGGAAGATGCAAGCGGCGCTTTCCCCCGCAGATAAGCCCAAAGCTTGTGATCCATCCTGCGGACACGCGGAGCCACCACACCATGTCATGTCGGGATGCTTGGGGTTCCTCTCATTTTCTCCCCTCCGACAAAGAATTACACTGGACCGCCCCAGGGCTCCGAACCCCAATTATCCCAGTGAATTCATCGGGTTCGCAATGCCAGGGAAGCCCAGACCTTGTTATGTCATTCGGGTGCCTGGGTTTTCTGGGAACGCCCCAGAAGTCCCAAGCATCCCAATGAAGTATTCACAGTGTTTGGGCTTCCCTGACGTCGCGCACCCGGTACATTCACTGAAATGCTTGGATGCTTCGGGTTCGGAGCCCTGGGTTGGTTTGTTTTTTTGTCGCATGGAAGTTCCATGAATCAGAAACATCCGAATTCATAGTATATGGTTTCTGGGAATAGCACCCCAGACAACTTAGGCAACCCAGTGAAATCACAAGAACTCAGCGATTCCCATCCCAGACATCCCAATCATCCTCATGACATCACAGGGTTTGGCAACTCCTTCCTTTGCAAACCTTGCGATTCACAGGGGTCACTCCTGCCTGAAGGCCCTCTATCCTTCTCTCTCTCTCTCCCTCTCTCTCTTTCAGTCTCTCTCCCTCTCTCGTTCTCTTTCTGTTTCCTTCTCTCTCTCTCTGTCTTTCTCTGTTTCTCTCTCTCTCTCTCTCTTTTGTCTGTCTTCTCTCTCTCTCTTTTCCTTCTCCTCTTCCTCGTCCTCCTCCTCTTCCTCCTCCTGCCCGTCCTCAGACAGGCAGACAGACAGAAAGACAGACAGAGACATATTCAAGGGAGCGGCGATCCCTGTGACCCAAGGTTTGCGAAGGAAGCCGGAGCCAAGCCCTGTGTTTTCATTACGAATTTCAGGGTTTCTGGGATTGGAATCAATGAACCCCCGTTGGGATTTGTTGGGACTTGGGAGCCCGCAGCAAAGATGTCCACGCTGCAGCCTTCACAGGCTCGAAATGTCAGAAATCCCAGAGATCCCCAAACTCTCAATTGATTCATCGGGCTCTCTGTGATTCCTAGCCCAGACATCCCAATGAAGTCCTTCGCAAACCTTTCGATTTAAAAAGGATCGCTGCTGCCTCGCATTTCTTGATCCCTCCCTCTCCCTCTCTCTCACTCTCTCTGCGTCGTCGGAAGAGGAGGAGAAGGAGGAGGAGGATGAGACGAGCAAACAGCGGAGAAATGATTAATAGGACAGATAGGTGAGCGGGCACTGGCGAAAAGAAGGCGGATGATCAGCAAGGGTACGAATGAACAGCACCAAGACCGATGCAACATGAATGGGTGTTGCAGGGGGGCTGCGCTGTATGGATCTACGTATCTGGCCCTTTCCGACTATCTATTTCGTGAATCCCGGCTGGAGCCCTGGACCCTGCCATCAGGCCGCATTTCTTCTGCCGCATCGATTCGTGAGGGACCCGAATAACTTTTCCGCGCTCGGGTCTCAGACGTCTGCGCAGCCAGGAGTTCGCCCCCAGCCTCCGCGGTGGCTGCCTCGGAAGCCTCCGCGCCTTCTCCAGCGGCCGTGCGCCCCCGCGCTCGGGCAAGGCCCAGGAGACAATCAAGAGTACCAGCGACACCTGCAAGGCTTCGGGGTGGTTCCGGCTGGCCTCAACAGGCTCCCCGAAGATAGTCCAGGGCGGTCTCAACACGGGTGGGGGAGTGGAGTCCTCTCCAGGCTACTCGGGTGGCCTGTTGAGGGAAGCTGGGGCTCCTCGGGGTTCTGGTCGGCTGGGTCGATCTGGGGGGGGGTTGTCTGTGAAGCCTTACCAAGCGACACGCCGCCGTTGGGAGTCCACCAGCGTGGCACGGTCACTCTTTCCTCTCTGCCCGGAGACCGGGTGTTTCTCCTCCGACGGTAACACTCTGATAGGCTCCCCTCGATCGGCGGCGTAACTGTCATTGAGACTGCTTGGCTCCCCCAACCCCAAACTTCCGCCGATGTGACTTTTCCAATCCGCGGCCACAGGAGTCTGGATCCCTTCCCTGGGAGTAATTTTGTGTCCTGGATCCATGTGTGATTGCCCCGGGATTTAAGGATTACTCACCCACGCAAAGCTTGCTATTAGCAGCAAGTATGCTGCCAGGACAGGGATGAAAGCATGGCAATGTGCACCTTAGGGTCTTGCTTACAAGGCCTCGTGACCGTCTATACCAACAATGCTACCAGCATTCATGCGGGAATCGAATCCCGCCACAACCTGTAAGGACATCTCAGGCGGAACGTCTGCCGGACTAAGTCCAAGGGCTCCCCAGCCCCCTTGTAGTGCCCTTTTGAGAATTTCAAGTGCTTCTGCTAGAAACCTCTAGTGGGAAGCAATTATGCAGAAAAGTCACATCGTCGAGATCTGGGAAGGCAGCCGCGGACGCCAGCGAGCTCATCGCCCTCGCCCACGTGCGCCCGCTGGCCACCAGGGCGGCTCGAGGTCGGGTGATGGTAGAAGTGCCACTGGCCCAAGGTGCCCCCAGGCTCTCCGAGGAGGCCTCCACGGCCTCCAGAGCTCCCCTCACGAGGCCTAGATGGCCCGAGGAGCTCCAAGATTCAACGAAAAGCTGGGGGCGCCTTGGTCGGCCGCGCGCAGACGGGGTCAGGGGGGGGGGGAAGGCTTCTTAGACGCATCCCCTACTCTGTGTCCCTCAAAAGTTCAGGGCCCTCAGAGTACAGGCACCCCCCGGACTACAGGTACCCCTCCGAAGCTACCGGTGCCCCCCGAGGCTATAGATAGGACCCCCCGAGTTCGCCGAGCCGAAGCGGGCCGCCTGGAATGTCTATGCCCACTGCCACCCATGCATTATGCGCTGGCAAGGAAGAGAAACATGCAGAGAAAGAGGAGAAAGGAGGTCGCGAGGGAAAGAGAGGGTGACTGACTGACTGACTGACTGACTGATTGACTGGCTGACTGACTGACTGACTGATCGCGCCCCCCCGGACTACAGGTACCCCCCGGATTACTGGCACCCTCCCTGAGTTACAGGTACCCACCCCAGACTACTGGTACCGCCCCCCAGACTACAGGTACCCCTCCTTCAGACTACAGGTACCATCCTCGGACTACAGGTACTCCCAGAACTATTGAGGGACACAGAGTATAGATGTGAAGCCGGCGCCTTCTGAGAAGCAGCCTCCCTCAAGAACCCTCCCCCCCTCCCCCTACCCTCTTTGGCGCGCCGCCAAAGAGGGCCCAGAGGCTCCAGCATTGAACGGAGTGTTGGGAGCCCCTAGGGCCAGGGGTACCTGTAGCAACCCCCGACGAGGCGCCGATGCCCCAGGCCTGCTGCGCCTCGGCCGGGACGGCAGCGGCTCCGGTCACGGCGGGGAGCGCCTCCCCGCCGGGGCAGAGGAGCCATTTCGAACGGGGCTAGGACGAGGATAAATCCTTTCTAGAGCGCTCCGGAACGCTCTCAGAGCGTTCTGGAACGCTCCGAGAGCGCCGCGGCGCCCGAGACATCCTCCAGACCCGGCGGATCTCAGAGATTCTTATCCTCGTCCGATGTTATCACCGTACTGGCGTCCTCTTACCACTGCTTGGGTCACCGCGGGGTTGCTGAAGGGAGAGGCGTGTTCTAAGTGGATGTCAAGATTCAGCCACGCGCAGAGTGGGGTAGGCAGAGAGAGAGGGGAAGGCTTCTCAGAAGCACTCCTGCGTCTTAGAAGGCGTGGGCCTTCTTCATAGATGTACAGGCAGGCGCCTTCGGAGAAGCAGCCTCCTTCTAAGAAGCCTCCCCCCTCCCCCTACCCCCCTGTGCGCGGCGCCAAGAGGGGCGTGTTCTAAGTGGATGTCAAGGTGGGTGATATTTGGCCTGACCTGAGAAAGAATCAGAAGAGGAAGAGATATCCGTATCGCTACCATCGCCGCGTTTTTTCCTTTTGGGGCCTCATGGGGGGCCCTCGTCGCCACCGTTGGATTCGCTTCGAAATGTTGCTCAGAACGCACCCCGGGAGAGGTCGGGAGTAGCGGTATTGGTACCTTATGGTTCCCCCCAGCGGGTTACTCGGTATCACTGTAGGTGGGTTGTTCGCGCACCTAGCGGCTTGCGGGGGGCCAAGATCTGAGCTGATTGGGCGGAGCTCTCCTGAGCAGAGTCATTCAAACCCTTTAAGCCACTCAGGGCATGTGTAGCCCATGCGTAAGATAGTTTATACCAGATGCAGCCCACACTAGCATCCACTTATAGCCCTTTCTGTTCCCTTAGTAACCCGATCGGTGATCCAAGCACTAGACCCATCGGCATCACCCGAACATACTCATACGATGTGTGCGCCGGCCTCCCAGGGGCAACGCTGGCGCTCAGAAACCTTACAGTATATGATCGGTGGCAGGCGCTTTCTGGCCACCCCGCCTGGGAAGTGATATTTGAGTGAGGGGGTCGAACGGTCATTCCCTGTGCCTGGGCACGTGGCTAAAGTGGGATTCCCCGGTGCGGATTGTTGTTGCGATGTTGTTGCATATTCATTTTAAAAAATATAGATAATTTCAGTTGATCTCCGGAAACGGTTCTGGGCGCTCTCGCCTCGACCGCGGCTACATTTTCTTTGAAAACGAGGCTCCCGCTCGAGCGTTGGCTTGAGTGTAAAAGTGTGCCCTTGGAGGCCCGGCTAGGCTCCAGCTCGATAATTCCTTACAATTTACCCCGAAACACCCTGGCCAGAGAGGCCCCCGAACTCAAGAACGGCGCTGTCGTTCGAGACTTCCTCGCAATTCAATGAAGTTGGCGGCCAGCTCGATTCTTCCTCACGAATTACTCCGAGAGCCTCTTGCCAGGAAAGCCCCCGAGCTCAGGAACGGCGCTCTCGCTCGAGAATTTCGCATGATTCTGCCAAATTGGGGGAGGCCCAACGACAAGGGCTCCCGTTCGATACTTCCTCAAGATGTATTCGCAGAGGCCCTGACCAGAGAGGTCCCCGAATTCAACAGTGGCGCTCTCGCTCGAGACTGCTTGCAATTCAGGCAAGTTGGTGGAGGCACGGCAACAAGGGCTCCCGTTCGAGATTTCTCTATTTGTATTCCGCGAGCCCCTGGCCAGAGAGGCCCTGAACTCAAGAACGGCGTTCTCGCTCGAGAGTTGCTCGCACTTCAGCCAGTGGCAGACAAGGACGAGATTCCCCCCGAAAGGGGGTGCAATCGAAGACGAAGTGTGCGGGTATCGAGGGTTGGAGTATACATAATGCAAGACACGCGTGCCAGTAAGGGCAAACAATATAAAGTTGATTGTTGTTGCTGTTGGTGGTGGTGCTGATGTTGCTCAAGAGTAATCATGGTTGATCCCTCCAGCCCGGTAACCGTTGTATTTCTCAATTAAAGTGCTTTTTCTGGGGGCCTGCACCCTGGTTGTTTACCCGGGCAAGCGACATGTCACCGAATTGTGCCCCTGGCCCCTTGTTTACAACAGCAACAACAACAACAACAACAATCATTTGACCCGAACGCGTGGTGTTCTCCCCAGTGCCAGGGTTTTCATACGACACCAGGCAATACCCCCACTTCGTGGGGGGGCATTACAAGCTCTACCAAATATCCAAACGACTCTTCGCGACCACCCAAACCCAGCTTCCCGCCCTATGACGTTGGGACACTTCACTTCGTGGCGTGCGGACGACCGTGGCTACTACACTGGCGTGGGGTACACACCCACAGAACCCAATGGTTTTTGGAGATTTCGGCGTGCGCGCGCGAAGAAAAAACGAATGTGTCCCGCATGGTATTATTTGACAGGGATGATGGCCCTGGCAGGTGCGCAACCGTTGTCGCAGAAGTTCGAAAAAGTTGCTCGCAAAAGCCCGTTTGACAGAAATGTTTAAAAAGTGTTGGTTTTCCTACGAATCCGCAAGAGCGCGCGGGATGAGATTTTGACATTTTTTTGTTGAAAAACCATTGGTTTTTTGATGTTTTTATGTTAAAATCGCTCCGAACACTAAGCTTTTGGAAGGATTTCGTCTTGCGCGCGCGAATGTCCACTTTACCTTATTTTTTGCAAGGGATTCTTGAAATTTGATTATATTAGAACAAGAAATGTCATTTTATAGTGTTTTTTGCAAGGGAAAGCGGGGGGGAACAAAACAACCGGATCTTGATCACATCGAATTACCTGAGGCTTCCTCACGAAAATGATGAAAATGTAGCTGCGGCCTAGGCGCGGCGGGGGGGGCGTGCACCAGGGGGCCCAACAATAATTATTCTTTAGAATTAATAATGTTCAACATCAACATCAACAACAACAACAACAACAACAACAACAACGGCTCCCGCGTATTACTTCCTCACACATTACTCCCAAATGGCGTTCCCGCGCGGGACTTATGTACAATGTGTACAGGGATCGCGCTCTCACGTGGGGTTTGGCATTTATTCAGACGCTGCGCTCTCGACACTCAGGAATCACGCTCTCGCTGTGGATTTCCCCACGCTTTGTTCGGGAATCGAGCTATTGCTCGAGTCTTCCTCGCGATTCATGCAGGACTCACGCTTCAGCAACCCGCCTGCTCGACCTGGCCGCTTGGGCCCACCTTCCCGATCCGCCCGTTAGGGTCTACCCGCCCGATCTTCCCGTCTGGTTCTGTCACGTGTTTTCTGTTCCTAGCCCCCCCCCGCTACTCCCTCTCTTGCTCCATCCTTCTCTTGCTCCTACCTTCCATCCGTCCTCGCTTCCCCTGCTTCCGGGACTACACGAAGCACACGTTGCAAGCAAGAAAGATATATGCCCCAAAGGGGACACGATCGAAGACGAGGAGGGCGGGTATCGAGGGCCTGGGATAATATACGTGTTGAATGAGCTGCGAGCAGATCAGAGCGAACAGTCTGAACATTATTGTTGTTGTGGTTGTCGAATTGTCACTCCTGAAGAATAATGATTGTTGGCCCCTTGCCTGGCGCACATTGCTTTTCAATGGAAGTGCCCCTCTCAGGGCTCGCACCTTGTTTTTTAGGATGGAACGTCTTGAGCCTCAAACTGCCGCTCCCGGCCCCCGAGTTACAACAACAAAGGTTCCCGCCTCATGCTTCCTCACAGCGTATTCAGAAAAATCAGGCTCTCGCGCGGGACGCCCCCCAATTTATACAGGAATCGCGCTCACGTGTAACTTCCACACCATTTAATCAGACGCCGCGCCCTCGACACTCAGGAATCACGCTCTCGCTGTGGATTTCCCTACGCTTTATTCGGCAACCGCGCTATCGCCCGAGACTTCCTCGCGATTCATGCACGACGAACGCTTCAGCAACCCGCCTGCTCGACCTGGCCGCCTGGGCCCGCCTTCCCGACCCGCCCGTTAGGCGTCAGGGTCTACCCGCCCGATCTGCCTGTCTGGTTCTGCCACGTGTTTTCGGTTTCGAGCCCCTCTCCTGTCACTCTCTCTCTCGTGCTCCATCCTCCTCCCTCCCGCTTGTCCCTTCCTTCCATCCATCCTCCCTCCCTCTGCCTTAGAGGCTGAACGAAATACATGTTGCTGGACAGAAAGATACGTAGCACCCCGCAGTTTCGGATAAGAGTGAGGGGCCGGCGAGGACGTCCTCAGTTTGCGAGGCTCTGAAGAAGCCCGCTGTTGGCGCCTAAATTTTCTACAAATTCTGCAGTGAAGCCGCCGCAGGCGCAGATTTTTTCGTTAAAGCAATGTGGGTGGATCGCGGGGTGGGTCGCGGGTGGGTCGCGGGTGGGTCGCGGGTGGGTCGCGGGCCGGGTCGCGGGTGGGTCGCGGGTGGGTCGCGGGTGGGTCGCGGGGGTGTGTCGCGGGGTGGGTCGCAAATGGGTCGCGGGTGGGTCAAGGGGTAGTTCGCGGGGTGGGTCGCGGGGTGGGTCGCGGGGTGGGTCGCGGGCTGGGTCTCGGGGTGGGTCGCGGGTGGGTCGCGGGGTAGGTCGCGTGTGGGTCGCGGGCGGGTCACGGGGTGGGTCGCGGGTGGATCTCGGGTGGATCGCAGGCTTTGTCGCGAGGTGGGTCGCGGGGTGGGTCGCTGGGTGGGTCGCGGGTGGGTCGCGGGCGGGTCGCAGGAGGGACGACGACAACAAACAACAACAACAACAACAACAACAACAACAACAACAACAACAACAACAACAACAACAACAACAACAACAACAACAACAACAACAATTACTAGCACGTGGGGACACTCCGTTCTCACCAGTGCCAGGGTTTTCATAGGAGGCGGGCAATACCCCCACTTTGTGGGGGGGCCGGTTCAAGCTCTACCAAATTTCCAAACGACTCTTCGCCACCACCCACACCCAGCTTCCCGCCCTATGACGTTCGGACACTTCACTTCGTGGCATGCGGACGACCGTGGCTACTATTCAGGGCCCCGCGGCCGACGACGACGGCGTGCGCGCGCGAAGAAAAAACGAATGTGT